AGCGGTTGGTTTCTTTCACTTTGCGATTACTCAACACCAATTCCTTTTCATCTCATCTAATTGTAAGGGATGGGGTTAGGGTCAACCGTCTGCTTGCACTATTCCAACGAAGGGATCGCATTTGCGATTTTTGGAGGGGGAGGAGGTGCATGTTGGGGTTGAGCAAGGTTAAGTACCTCTGGAAACGATGTGAAGAGGCGCTTCCGAAAGACGTTGTTGTTGACGGGGTTTCCGACGATTTTGGCGGAAGTTTCATGAAAGCAGGGTAAAGTAGGCAAATTGAAGTTGCTGCTCCATTGTTCCAATTTACAACTTTCCCTCGGCTTTTTAGAGGGAAAAGTGGGCAGAGTTAGGTGTGTCGAATGGTCGCAGGGTCGAATATCATAGAAATCATGATGCTGAGGGTGGTGATCGGGGGAAGGAGGAGGGGTCGTATATGGGGAGTCTCATTAGGCTGATGGTGGTGGTGAGGGGTCGTATCAACCCCAAGGGGAGGGGGAGTCGCAAAATTTTTGGAGAAGTGCGAACGCGTCGGTTGACTTCGGGTGAGGGCATGTGGTATACGGAGCTTCCTTCATCTGCGGAAGTTGGATCACTTCAGCTGATATAAATTGTCAGCTCCCCTGACTGGACGAGACTCTTATTTCCCTTTCACCTCTTTTTTTACACGATCACAATCGGATTTCAGATGCAATCATATCGATGACTGTGGTGATGCTTCGGATGAGTTGGACTGTGCCGCCGCTGTGACGTGTGCTGCCGGTTCATTTGCTTGTGGCAATGGACACTGCATAAACCAAACCAAGGTATCTCGGCTTTCCTCTTTTTTCTACTCATTCAGCTCGTTGTTTGACGCGCTCATGTCCTCATGTCCTTAGGGGTGGGGGATTCAGAAAAGGACGTTTAAAAACTAGTAGTAGGTGGCCTAGACTGAGCCCTAGCAAGAAGAAAGACAGAAGAAGACCTGATTCAGTGCCCTAACAGACATGGCGCCGACGACTTCTATGTCTCTGTATTTCTATAGGTGTACTCGGCCTACTTCCAGTTATGAAATAGAAAGATATGCTGAAGCAAAGACCGCTCAAAAAAGGAAAATTTGATTATTTCGTCTCTTCTCCAGAGAACCTATTTGAAGCTACTGGTGACTTTGGGTTAAAGAAGGAACTGACGAAATACCTAAAAATGAAGGCCAGGAGACGTTCGAAACAGGCCCCCAAAGGAGGATGCGAATAAGTTACTGGGCGAATTTTGAAATGAGGTCATATTTATCCTCTTGTAGTCACAAAAGGCTGGCATACTGATTCATGCATTTACCATGTTCCCTTCCACCTGCGAAGACTCACTTCATTCTGATTGTATACAGGCGGAACCCACCTCAGTCGGTGACCCCTCGCTGTAGTTCACTCCTCTTTTGCGTCATTTTCAACGAGGAGGCCCTCCAATGGTAGAGTTGCAGTGGTTAGTCTGACTTTGCATATACCGGAGCCTTCAGGTGTGGGGTTAGTTTAGATGAAGCCTGGACGGTGGGCCAGTAAGTGGCCACAAGGCTGATGCAGACTCTCGATCTGTCTCATCATGAGCGCTGATCCCAAACGTTCCATTCAATGGAATTTTCGATTGTACCACTCGTTTTTTCCTTAAAGGTCGCTCCAGTCAACATAGTCTTCCATGATTTAGCGCTTGTTACTTTTTATTGACTGATTTTGTAGGTATGTGATGGTCACAACGACTGCCACGACAGTGGCGTTTCTGATGAGTCCAAAGAAACCTGCCCTGGACTGCCTATCGATTGTCGTGGAGTGAAGATACGGTACCAACTAAATACTTATATATTAATTAGGATCACTGTGACTGTTTTAGCGGGTCATATTCTTTCAGATGTCCCAACACGAACATTTGCATTCAACCGGCTGATCTTTGCGATGGTTACGACGATTGTGGAGACAAAGCTGACGAGAATAAGCTTTTCTGTATGAACCAACAATGTGCACAGCACTAGTGAGTTACCTAGCGCTTCTAATCTTCTGTAAAGGAGCATAACTAGGAATTCCCGGCTGTGTTTGATTTTCAAAGAGGTTTCTGCTTTTCATCGAATTGGAATCCCTTCATTTTGTGGCTCAGTGACTTGGTTGATGCTGATATGATTTTGTAATAGTGGACATAACATACCGAAAGGATTTACTTAAGTTTCACCTATTTACTTAAGTTTTCCCCAATTTACTTAGGTTTTGATCCTTCTGAATCTCTTGCTGATTTCAGTGTACGCTGTCCATCGGGCAGATGTATTCCGGAGACGTGGCAATGCGACGGAGACAACGATTGCTCAGATGGCTGGGATGAGACACACACGAACTGCACTGACGAGACCGGAAAGCGCATATGCGTTGGGGAATATTTGTTCCAGGTCTGGCAAAGAGCCAATTTGCTAAACTTTTTCCATTTATGTTCTTCATTCCACCCATTTCAGTGTGACAATGGCAAATGTATCTCCCGAGCGTTCATCTGCGACGGTGAAGACGACTGTGGTGACAGCTCCGATGAGCACACGAGACATAGCTGCGGTACCGTACCCAACATCCTCTTGGGCCGCTGTAGTAGAATATTCAAGAGCGTTTCTATTTAACAATGCTTTCAGGTAACCGCACCTGCACTGATCAAGAATTCCACTGTGTCTCGAACGCAAGACTGGCACAACCGAAATACGAATGTATTCCGAAAGCATGGCTTTGTGATGGTGACGTCACCTGTGCCGGTGGAGAGGACGAGTCGGCCGAATTATGTAAAACGGAAAAGAAGGCAAGTTTTCGCATTCCTCAGCCAGTTATGTGTTGTGCGATGTCACGCCCCTTTTGGCCAAATTGTCTTGTTGATTCCGAGAGATCTTGTTCTATCCCCGCCATACCATGCCCTACGGGTATGCTTGGCTGAGCTGCGATCTATGGAAAAAATTTGAGCAATCTGAAAGCAAGTTCCGCGTGCGAAAAAAATGTGAGCAAAGGGGTGTGGTACTGTAAAGGTACTACGCCCTCCTCTTCCCCCCACAGGAGGGCCCAAAGGGCGTGTGCCCTATGGTAGTACGCTGTCACAAGGGAGGTAAGCAAACCAGCCCTTTTGGCGTTTCTGCTGGGGCCGTATGCTGAATGTTGGGGAGGGGATGGGGTCCCCGAGGTCGACGGACTACTTCAACTCGGTCGGTACGGTAGGAGAGTGATGACGAAGTGGTGCAGCT